ACAGGTGGCCATGGGGGAGGGGAAGGGGAAAAAATAGTTACAAACAGAGAGGGAGGAAGGCAAACCATTGTTCTCTCAAATACAGAGAACAATCTGAGGATTGATGGGGGGGGGAGGGAAGGGGAAAATGGGTGATGGGCATTGAGAAGGGCACTTGTTGGGATGAGCACTGGGTGTTGTAAGTGATGAACCACAGGAATCTACCTCGAAAACCAAGAGCACACTTTACACACTGTATGTTAGCCAATTAGACAATAAATTATATTTTAAAAGAGAGCGAGTGAATGACCATGTCTGGCAAGCTACTTTCTGTAAAATTCCTTTGTCTTGTGGAGAAAAGAAAATCTGGTCTGAGTACTGCCACTCACTGCTGCAAAGTCTGTTTTTTGTTTTTTTGTTTTTTGAAGTAGCCTGTACTTCCTACTCTACAGAGCCCAACATGGGGCTTGAACTCACAACCCTCGGATCAAGACCTGAGCTGCGATCAAGAGTCCAACGCTCAACCGACTGAGCCCCCCAGGGCCCCAAGAGTTGGTGTATTTCTGCAGACAACACATTCTGGGCTCCGTGGTAGATGGAAACTAGACAGCCACGCCTGATTCTCCACGCTGCACCTCAGTGTCCCCGCCGCGGGTGGCCGTGTGCCCTTGGGCAGCTTTACTGGCCTCCCTGAGCCTCAGCTCTCCCAGCTCTAAGTTGGGGATAAGAACACTTAACCACATAACGTCCTTGAGGGTCTGAGGACAGTTAGGAGCCGGTGCCCCGCACGCTGCTGCACAAGGTGTGGGAAGCGAGGGAGCCACCTGCTGGTGAAGCTTCATTCATCAGGGCAGCAACCAGGTTACCTGCCCCGAGTTCTAGGGAGTGGGTCTGAGGAGTCCCCGCTCTGGTGTTTGCCCTGTTTCTCTCTTCATCCCTCACGGCACCTGCCCCCACAGGTGGTCTCCTAACTCACTCGAACACTGAACGGTGTCTCGGTTGCTTCCCTCGTAAGCAGCGCCGTCCGACAGAACTTTCTGACACCAAGAGAGACCCCACACCTGCATCGCGTCGGGTACGGCATCCACTACCGTGCGTGGCATTAAGTCCTCGCGATGTGGCTAAAGCAGCTAACAAACTGAATTTTTATTTAATGAAACTTAACTAGGGGCACTGGGTGGCTCAGTCGGTTAAGCGTCTCTGACTCTTGGTTCAAGCTCAGATCATGGTCTCGCGGTGAGTTCAAGCCCCACGTCGGGCTCTGTGCTGACAGTTTGGAGCCTGCTCGGGATTCTCTCTCTCCCTCTCGCTCTGCCCGTCCCCTGCTCACTCTGTCTCGCTCTCAAAATAAATAAACTTAAAAAAATTTTTTAATTAAAACAAAAATGTTAAGTCACCACACGTGGCCAGGGGCTACTGTACTCACACCGCACAACAGCAAAGCAGTGGTTCTCAAGCTGTCTGCTGAATTCACCTTGGCAGGGACCTCGGAGAATCTAGATGGCCAGGCCGCACCCCAGATGGCTTCAAGCTTTCTCGGGGCGCTTCTAACGTGCAGAAGTGGAGAACCACTGCTCTCAGAGCAGCAGCTGGCCAACTACTGTGCATAAGGATCCCCTGGGGGCCTCGTTCAAATGCAGATTCTGATGCTTAGGTCTGAGAGGGGGACAGAGATTCTCGGGTCTAAGGAGCAGACCCTGCTGGTCCCTGGGCCGCACTAAGCAGCAAAGGTGAACCCGGCCCTGCTGATCCGGTCACTTACGCAAACAGTCCCTCCCAAGAGCTCGGTGGTGTGACAGTTCGGGCTCTGAGAGTTCGCGTCTATGGAATTGTAGACAACTTCTGGATAGGAGAGGTCGCGTTTTGGGAAAAGCTCCACTCTCCAATGTAAAACCAGTGGCTGATGAGCTCCTGGACTGGGCAGGACCCCTGCACTGGGCAAGAAGCTGCAGCCGTGTCGCAAGCAGCAGACAGCTCAGAGGGTCGTGCGGACACAGGATTAGTCTGCTGTTACCCCCTTTAAGAAAATCCTAGGAGAGGGGCGCCTGGGTGGCTCAGTCAGTTAAGTGTCCGACTTCAGCTCAGGTCATGATCTCACGGTCCGTGAGTTCAAGCCCCACATCGGGCTCTGTGCTGACAGCTCAGAGCCTGGAGCCTGTTTCAGATTCTGTGTCTCCCTCTCTCTCTGCCCCTCCCCTGTTCACGCTGTCTCAAGAATAAATAAACATTAAAAAAAAAAAGAAAGAAAGAAAATCGTAGGATACACACACCCAGATGTTAACAGTAGTTCCCCCCCACACCCCGGGAGAGAAGAGCAGATGGGGAAGGAGAAAGAAGGGTGCTTTCTGCAGAACTTTCAAAAGTGAATCAAAATAATAGAGAAAACAGACGAGTCCAGGGGACTTTAACTAGAGGAAGAGACTTCTTCCAAATCAGAGGAAGGCCTGGCCTCCCGGTTTCATGTTACCTGAAGTGTGTTCTATACATATTGTTACTGTTCTGGCAACTGTGGCAACTACCGTAGCTGGGGAACATCCTGGAACACGCCTGGGACGGTGCAGGGTGTGCAGCAGCTGAGTAAGGCTCCCCCCGGTCCTAATTCCTGAAACCTGTGAACATTCCCTTCTGAGGCCGGAAGACTCTGCAGAGGTGACTGAGGTAAGGAGCCTGAGCTGAGTGAGGACCCCGGACGCTCCATGGGCTCTGAAGGCTGTCGCACGTGACCTTGTAAGAAGCAAGCAGAGGGAGGTAGAGGGTTGCTAAGCTGTTGGCCTGGGAGGGAGGAAGGGACTAGGGCCATGCCAAGCAAGGAACGCCGTGGAAGAGGCGAGGTGAAGGATTCTCTCCTGCGGCCTCCGGAGGGAGGTGCGGCCCCTGCCAACACCTTGGTTCCTCAGCAACACCACATGGGACTCCAAGTCTCGAAGTCAGTGGTGATCTGTCACGGGACGTATGTCCCACGACTCGGGGAAGGTTAGCGGGAACCCCAAGAATCGAACTCCCACCCACCTGGCTCAGAGTCCTGCTCCTCAACCTGGTGGTGACCACCAAGGCTTCTCCAGTTCGGTTTCTTCATCGGAACATCAGGGCTGGTAGCTAAGTGAGAAGGGCGTGGCAGCAGGAACACAGCGAGGATTCAGATACCGGTTCCCCCTTCCCCGCTGTTTTCGCCGTCGAGGAACAGAGGAAACCGTCTTCGCCTGGGCAGCTCCTACTGCGGAAAGGCCGTCAGGACGTGAGCTCACGCGGCCTGGCCCGTATCCCGGACATGCCGTCTCTGCAAATAACCACCGAGAGGCTGATCAGTTGTCCTCACCCTGCAAGACGACGACGGCACTTCCCCATCACAACACACAGTCGGACGCGGGTTTGGCGAGGAACACCACCCCTTCGCTCCGCCAAAGTGGCCACCGTGATGGCTCCTTTACGCGGCAGCGTGACTGGGCTGAGGGACTCCCAGACGGCTGGCAGAACATTATTTCCAGGTGTCCCTGGGAGGATCTGTCCAGAAGTTTTTGGCAACTGCACTGGTGAACTGAGTAAAGCAGATGGCTCTCCCCAACGCGGGTGGGCAACACCCAATCCGTTCAGGGCCCGAACGGAACAAAAAGATGGAGAGAGAAGGTGAATCCCGTCTCTGCTCGAGCTGAGACGTCCGTCTCCTCCTGCCCTCGGACACAAGCCGTCCTGGTTCTCGGGCCTTGGGACTCAGACGGACACCCTCTGCTCCCTGGTTCTCAGGCCCTCAGACTCGGACCGGATCACATCACCGGCGTCCCTGGGTCTCCACCTTGCCGACGGCAGACCGCGCACCTTCTCAGCCTCCAGTCACATGAGCCGATTCTCAGACTGAATCTTCCCTTCCATACGCCTATCTGTCCCGTTATTCTATTCTACGGTGCTCTTTTCCCGGACAACCCTGACTAATGCAGCTATCAGACTTCAACTATTTCCCTCAAAGGAAGAGAAAGGGGCAGGGGAAGAAGTCACCGTGGTCAGAAGCCCCGCAAGCCTCTGCTCGTCAGGGTGCAAAGAACATGGAGCCTAAAAGCTCCCACAGGCCGCCAACCTTCGTTACAGCAAGTACAGCCCGGCCTTGCGAACTCAGTGCAAAGGACAAAGCCCCTGCCTTACACACTGAACCTTGGCCCCTATCCTGTGAACTACTATCACCCTGAGATGTGCTTGGTTTTAAAACATGAAGCTGAAAGGGGTTTTTTCAATGTTTATTTTTGAGAAAGAGACAGAGTGCGAGCAGGGGGTGGGGGTGGAGGGCACAGAGAAACAGGGAGACACAGAATCCAAACCAGACTCCAGGCTCTGAGCTGTGGGCACAGAGCCCTAGGTGGGACCCAAACCCAGGAACTGCAAGATCATGACCTGAGCCAGAGTCAGATACTTAACCGACTGAGCCACCCAGGCGCCCCAAAGCTGAAAGGATTCGCGGTGTGATTTATTTAACTGCAGTGTGCCCCAGGAGCCTCCAGCTATTTTGTATTTATCAAGGGAGAAAGCTGTAGTTCAAGGACTGGACACCAGCACTGAGTGGAAACAAAGGGCTTACTTTGGCAAGTGAACCATCACACAGAACGTGACCCTGGCTATTATCTCCATCCCGACTGTCAGCTCTCGCAATGCAATCCATGACGGGGCCAGAGCTCAAAACTGTCAGGGAGCAAGAAACGAGCTCTACTTTGAAGCAAGCCAGAGGAGGAGCACTGTCAGGTCAAACCTGTGGACCAAGTATAATCCTGGTCCCTCTCCCTGTTCTCCAGAAGCGTGTTAAAGATTTTGCAGAAATCTGCTTTGAGAAAATCGCCACTTTCTTGATTGTCTTAAAGGCGCTTGGGCAAATTTTCCATCAGGAAGGGAACTGAGAGGTGAGGAAGGAAGAACACCGAGCCGTTCTCTTATCCCGAGGGACACAATTCTGGGTGTGAAACCGAGGCAGCCGTGTGGCCCCCTGGAGATCCAGCAGCTGTTCCACGCGTGGCCACGCGGACGGGGCTCGCCGTGTATGTTCAAAAGGCAGATTCCACGTCACCCATTTCCACATACACAGTCTTCAGCTGTGAATAGTACTCAATTGTCACGCGGCCATTCTCCCTGCCGAACCCTGGAAGGAAGAGAAGGCTGAGGAAGAGCCACCACCGTGGTGGCCTGAAAAGTCACGGGGACCTCCAAAGTCAGTCACCCCCTCAGGGGAAGAACACAGAACTGACAAGGTTTGGGACAAAGTCCCCAAGTGCACGTCATCAGCTGTACAGCTATGCACGGGAGAAGTGACCCACTGGCCTTCGGGGATGGGGACGGGGACAGGGAAATACCCGCATCTTGGTCCTACAACAGAACTTTATTTTAGGCACCGACTACTCCGGGTTGGGATGTGAAAGCGCTCGGACCTTCCTATCGAGTGTGAAAGTCTCTACGACAACCGATAGTTGGTGCTCGCTGAGAACCGAACTCTACACAACAGGCCTTTTAACCCCTCCTTTTGTGAAATCTGTTAAGAGCAGCTTGCTGTTTACACCCTGCCGACTCACGGGGGCGGGGGCCTCTTCAGGCGGCTCAGCAGCTCAGAGCCCCAGTCCCGCCCTGTTACGAGGTCACCCGTTCAAAGGACGGCATCCTGTGCTTGGCCTTCCCCTGCCTCTGACTTCGGGAGGCTCTGCCCCCAAAGGGCAAGGCCCGGTCCCCCAGAATACACGTCTCCGGGGGGGGGCGCTCTTCAAAAGAAAAGGTGCTCGGCCCTGGCAAGGCCTCACTCTGTCTCTGGCTCCCTCCCTTATCCTCTGAGCGCAGAGCTAGGTGGGTGTGTGTGCCCCCTTTGCTTCTCACCTCACCCCAGGGAGACAAGCCGGAGGGCACCGACCCAGAGGTTCCGATCCAAGGGGGGAGCCGGCCAAGAGCACGTACTGGCAGAGCAGCGGCCGGACTCCCAGGCCGCAGTGGCGCCCGTGCAGGGACGAGGCCGGTCAGCGGGCAGGTCCTGGGCGTGCCGGGGCACTTCCAAGCCAGGTGCCAAATAGACGGTCGAGCGAACACCCGCCGTCTCACGAGCGCCCATCGGGGTTCACGTGTCTGCTGGGACGGCCACACACACACCTGCCCAGGGGCTGGGGGCGGGCGCCCAGACTGGTGCCCCCGCAACGTCCACACCACTTTCCAGAGAAAGGGAAGGGCAGCCCGCGAATATTTACAGGCGACAAGCTCCAGAGAGCCTATCCTGGCCCCCACACCCCCTCCACACACCGGACTTGCACAGTCACCGTGTCACTGTCAGGGGGGCCAGACTGACTGCGTCACCAGGAACACTGGGCAAATG